CAAGCCCATTCTTTCCTGATTTTAAAATATTAGTTTCAGACGGTTTGGGGCGTTGGCTTATTTTTATTTCGTTTGATTGTCCTTCTAATCAGCTTTTCCATAAACTTGTTATTAAGAGTAGTATCTTTTCCTAAGCCTAAGACTAGACAGTGAAGAAAGATGGCCAGGAATATTTTGGAAAATAGGACAGAGTTGGGAGTTTGCCCAGAATTTAAAATTCACCACCAGTCAACTGCATTTGCATAATTAAGAGTTGCTGCTCCCATCCTGCTGGGTCTAATTGCATCCTGCCACGTGTGGAAAGCCACATCACCTCGCTTATCTGGCTTTCCCAGATTGGAGATGGTCCTCCCCGTCAATCTGTTGACGTTTAGTCACCTTGGCAGATGAGAAAGTGACAGCTAAATTGCCAGGGGGCACAAGGTGCTGGAAGAAAGGAAACTAGAAACCGAGATTCACCAGGACTTCAAAAGGCAATGCCAGGGGAGGGTATAACTCAGTGATAGAGTGCTTGCGTAGAGAGCATGAGGTTCCGGATTCAATCCCCAGTACCAACGTTAAAATAAATAAAAATAAACAAATACGACCTAATCACCCCCCACCAAAAGGTAATGCAGTTACCAAATAATATTCATTTAAAAGATAGTCACAGTGTCTCTGCCAAGAACAGTTCTAGGCGCCAGAGAGACCACAGTGAACCAAAGAGGCAAGACCCAGCCAATAAACTAATAAGAAAATGCGAGAAGAGGTAAGTCGGAGGCGGCAAACCATGGCTGTAGAGCCAAAGCCGGCCCGTCACCTGTTTTTGTAAATAAAGTTTTATTGGCACACAGCTGCACCCCTCCACTCCTGTCTGTGGCTGGTTTCTAGATACACAGGTGGCAGTCACAGCAGAGAACACCTGGCCCTTTACAGAAAGGTGTGCCGCCCCCTGGTGTAAGTGCAGGGGATTCAAATAGGCTGAAATGACAGACGGTAGGGGTAGAGGGTGGAGGTGGCAGCTGCTGTCCACTGAGTGGTTGGGGGATGCCTCCCTGATGGTGACATTTAAACCATCACCCAAAGGCCGAGAAAGAGAAGCCAGCTGGAGGAAAGGTTGGTGGAGGGAGGAGTGAGTGAAAAGGGCCGGAGGCAGTAAAGAGTTGGTTGTGTTCTAGGAAATAGATGGGAAAGGAGGAAGGAGATGGGGTCAGCTGCAGAGTTTGGGCGTGGATGTCTGGGCAGAGAATGACGCCCAGGGAGATCTGATGAGAAAGAGACCTTGGGAAGGCGCTTGGGTTTTGGGCCACGTGTGTTCAGTGAGTGGGTTAGGTTTGAGGACTTACCCTCTGACTGCTCAGACCAAGAGACTGGATGGAAGGTGGTCTTGGTGGCCAGGCGAGGTCGGTCAGCAGCTTGGACCAGGCTCAGTTACTTTGTGAGTTTTGGGCAAGAATAGAAATAGAAGCTGACTTTCCTGTCTTACACAGGATTTAAAGATACACGGATTTAAAGTATACGCTTAAAGCTAACAGGGAATAGCATGTGTTCTAGGCTCCCACTGTCACAAACGCGGCTTCATCACCACCAGGCTCAGGTTTAGGATTCTAACTCCTTGAGGTTCACTGCTGCTCCCCCTCCTCGTCCCAGCTCTGGCTGTGGGCACACAAGAGGCCCACACCCACTCACCCCAGGCCTCACTGCTGTGCAGCCACATCCGCCAGCCTTGGTGGGGGGTGATGAAGGGGGGGACACAAGAGAACATTTCAAGGCATGAGCCAAGACCTAGGTAACACCCTAGTCCCAGCTTTCCACTCCCCGGGCAGTGTCACTGCACCTGCTCCGCTGGCCCAGCCCGTGAGGGCCTGACCAGCCTGGGCACAGGGGGTTCCTGGAGCTTCTGTTAAATATAGACCACAATGGACTTCTGGGCTCCCCGACTCCAAAGAAATCAGTGTTCTGCCACCTTCTGGAGCCCGCCGGGAGCACACCCAGTGCCTTCCTCTGCCCCTCTCCGCCTCAGAACCATAGTCTGCATTGGGGAGCACACGCTGCTTAGGCTGCTGGAAGCTGCCTTCGTGGGGACACTGGTCTGGGCCCGCCGCCCGCCCCTGCTGCGACATCTAGTGGTGAAAAGTGAAAATGCGCCGCCCACCAGGAAAAGAGATTTCAGACCCTTGTCACAGACGTCTGTATCAAATTCAGTAGTGTCCAGATTCTCCTGGGTTCTCAGGGAGCATGAGGAGGGGTCATCCTCAAGGGCGAGGTTAGGTTTCCTTAGGAGAAGACTCGAGTATATTTTGCTTTTCCCTGCCTTGCCTTTCAAGATCATGGTGGATGCTGTCAGTCTTGATGGAGAGAGCAGTTTCCTGGCGCATCTTCCCAAAGGCAGGGTGAAGGGAGAATGAGGCAGTCCCAGCCCAGGCCAGCAGCTCCCGGGGGGAGGGAGAGGGGGTGTCAGGGACATGTGTGAAGGCCCCACGCAGAGCGGGACCGTGGGATGGCTTACAACTCTATACCCCATTCTTTGGCCTTTGAATCAATTTCTCACCTGCCCACCATTCATCTCCACTTGGAAGGTGAGAATGTGTGTGTATGTGTGTTGCTGTGACCATCCAGAATCCAGGACGTTCTAAAAGTCAAGCTCTAAGTCCGATGAAGCAGTATTTTCATGGACAAAGACTTCTTGAAGGTGGTTATTATTTGAGAAACAGCCTGTGAGCAGGTAACAGATTCCGATGAAGGAACGATGCAGCCTCAACCCGCATTTCTGATAAAGAATTGAAGCCCTCTGCAGCCCCCCAATGACGTGGAGCCCGTTAACACGGGCCAGCAATCCAAGTCATTTGCTCAGGAGAAACAAGGTGCCAAAATGAGGTGCACCCTTTGTCTATGCAAATCCAGAGCAAGGGGACCCCTTGCCATCCTGCTTGCCTTGTTCGTAGCAATGACTTCTAAGTCGTACTTTAAATCAGGACCCTGCACTAACTGGGAAGTGTCTTCCAAGTGGGATGAACTGGAAGGGGCCCTCCTTGCACAGTCCCCTGCTTGTAACTCAGGCACGTCCCCGCTTTGAGGTGAGATTCTGCTCTCCCTGTGCAGCTCCCCGTTTATCCCCGGCCCCACCCCCTTTCCTCGCGGGGAGACCCGGGGTGAGTTCTGCCTCTGCCCTGGGCGAGTGCCTTGGCCTCTTTGAGCCTTGGTTTCTGCATCTGAAAGGGAGAACCGCCGCCCTGAGCACAGAGGCTTCTTTCAGGTTTAATAAGGAACATAAGAGAGCACAGTGTAAGCTGGAGGATAGACACGGGGAGCTCCTGCTGCAGACACGGGAAGTGCGTCTGTCTCAGCTCCTCTGGGTGTAATGAAAAAGAATTCATGACCCTTGTTAAGGACGGTCAGGTTGACTCTATCCAGGAGGTACTGCCGTGGGCCTGGTAGCAGAGGAGAGAGATGGGCTCCTTGTTGGAGAGCGACTGCAGCGCGGACAGTTACCGGGCTAGAGTGGAGGGCGTCGTCCTGGGGAGGGGAGGAGGAGCCGGCCTCGGGCTGCATGCCACAGCTCCAGCAGGCTGCTACCACAGAGCCGCTGGGAGTCTGGTGGGACATGTGAGGCTGGGATGGAGCCGGGGTGGATGATCGACGTGTAGACCTTGAGGTAGGTCTCTGGGTGCACAGGGCACTTTGCCAACACCATCCCTTTGGAAGCATTCATGTTATATTTGATGTCAGAGTGTTCACATGTCTGTGTCTCCCCAAGACTGTGGATCTGAAGCAGGTGTAGACCTTCCTGTTCCAGCTCCTGGGAGGTCCTCCATAAATGTCTGTGGCCGAGTGAATGAGCGAATCTGTGAATTATCCAGTGCTGGGGAGACGGCTGCTTCTCCCTGGGGGGCTGAGAAAGAAGCAAATGGAAAGGTTGTCACGTTCCCCAGGCCCCTCTCCGGTATTTAGCTCTGTACCTTGTGACTCCCTCCTTCTCATCATCTTGTACCTCACAGGGTCATAAAGGAACAAGATCCCACCGCCCCCAGAAGGAGCAGGTGCCCCTGGCCAATCTAACAGGCTGACCCCTGTTTCACTGTTAAATTGATCACTTTACAGGAATTGCTTCCCCCCTCCAATTCATTATCATCAAAATGCAACGGAAATCGGCAAATCCATAGAGACAGAGCACATTGGTGATGGCCAGTGGTCAGGCAGAGAGGGGAGCAGGAAGTGCCTGCTAATGGGTACCAAGTTCCCTTGTGGGGTGATGGAAATGCCCTGGGGCTAGATGGCGGTGGTGGTTGTACAGCAGTGTAAGTGTGCTAAAAGCCTCCCAGGGGGACACTTAAAAATGGTTAAAGTGGTGACTTGTATATTATGTGTATTTTTTTTAATGGAGGTACTGGGGGTTAAACCCACTACGCACACACTCTACCAACTGAGCCATACCCTCCCCACTGTGTGTGTACTGCACATGAAACGTTTTAAAATGCAGTGGGATCAGAACAAAATGTATCTGCCACATGGGTAAAGATCGCGGACTTCAAGTTATAAATGAAGTCCTGGGGATGTGATGTACAGCATGGCGACCAGAGTTAATGATACTGGGTACATTTGATGGTTGATAAGAGTAAATCGAAAAAGTTCTCATCACAAGGAAAAAAACCTTGTCACTGTGTGTGGTGATGGATGTGAACTAGACTTCCTGTGGTGATCGCTTCACAACATATACAAATAGAGAATCATTACACTGTACACCTGAAACTAATAAAATGTTACAGCTCTCTTACACCTCAGTTTTTTTTAACAGAGGTACTGGGGATTGAACCCAGGACCTCGTGCTCACTAAGCATGCGCTCTACACTGAGCTGTACCCGCCCCCACCCACTCCGCCCTACCTCAATCTTTTAAAAGGAAGAAAACTCGCAGACTGGAAGGCGGGGTCCTGGCCCCCGGGGATCGGGGGTGCGTTTTGCCCAGGGCCTGCCCCCCCTCACCTCCGTGATGACTGACAGGCCCTCTTCATTTGTGTTCAGGACACACACCGAGGACTCTTCATCCAGCAGCTGCGACCCACGCAGAACCTCCAGCCGAGAATCAAACTGAAGCTGTTCGGCCACTCGGCGTCTGGGAAGACCACGCTGGTGGAGTCTCTCAAGTGCGGGCTGCTGAGAAGCTTCTTCCGAAGACGCAGGCCCCGGCTCTCCTCCGCCAGCTCCACCCGGTTCCCGCCCTCGCCCCTGGCCTCCAAGCCCACAGGTAGGGGTCCCCCACAGCCCCCCGCCCTCGTCCCTGTCTCTCCACCAGGTGCTTCTCTCGTATCAAGTTCTGGGAGGGCTGGTGGCTTTGTTTGGGGCACTTGGCCCGAGGCTGATCGGTTCCCACCGCCTTGGTGGCTTCTGAGCATGACCCGTCTCAGCTCTTGGCCTTGTGTCCACTCCCCTTGGCTGGTAAGTGCACCCTGCCCCGCCGATAATGAAGAAAGGGCGTCACCAACATCACGATCCCCAATCACAAACATGCAGGATAGCACAATCGTGTCGTGTTCTGCTCGGGGACAGGGGCTCTGCCCTTGAAAACACGAAGAGCTTGGGCTGACACAGGTTCAAGGCTGCACAGACTGACTCTCAGGCCCCAGGATGGTCCTCCACCCTTGGAATGCCGCAGGCACATCCAGGAATGCGAGAATCTGGAACCATGAAGCTGAATTCACATGGCAGCCCATTCCTGCACCTCTCAAAGTTGGTTGATGGTTTTGAAAGGCTCCTTAGTGGTTTTCCAGTTGGTCCATCCACCCACCCTGTTGGGAAGGGGACTTTGCTGTCTTCCCTGACCCGCAGACGCGATCATCAGTGGGTTCCCACCCAGACCCGCAGGGTTGCCTGTCCCCCCCCCAGGGAGAAGCCCCTGCAGTGAACAGACGTCAGTTGTGCCATCTGGGGTGTCTTTCTTCCTGAAACCCCCCTTCAGAGTGAAGGAATTAGGTTTTTCAAAGATAAGAATAGAGACCTTCAGAGAATTTGCTAAACAACGTCAACGCTGAAGCTTTGGGCCTCAGACTCGCTTTCCATACATACTACAGAGCTGTCACATCTGTTCCCTAGGATGAAAACAAAAGCTTTAAAGTTCGTGGTTCCGTGTAGCTTCTCTCTGCATGAGGAAGGTGGTCTGGGCAGCATGAGTCAGGGGGTGAGGGACAGTGGGCTGAGAGCTACGTGCCCCCTTTCAACTTCATTCGTCTGAACACAGCAACAGAATTGAAACTTGGGTAAGAAATAATAACCAAAATGGATAGCTAATTCGAATGATTGCAATATTGTTAACACATATTGCTAATACGTACTGAGCACTACCTGTGTGCCAAAAACGTGTCGAAATGTAGTGTGTGTGACACCTCATTTAATCCACATGACAGCTTATTGGCATTTTTGCCACCGTTTACTGAGCCTTGAGGGGCCCAGTAGACCACCCCGGAGTCACGCAGCTGCCAGTTCACAAAGTGTCTGGCTCCTGAGCTAGGGCTCATTAATGACACTTAAAACTGCGTCTGATTTGGGGTGTATCCATGCTCATGTTTTCCATTCTCCACTGTAATTTTCCTCAGTTTCAGGAAGTAAGATAGGTTCACACCTTCTCAGAAGCCAATAGTTTTTCAGATTTACTGATTAAGTTCAACTTCTGTGTCCACGTGGACCAGGCCAGTGTTCAAGGTTCAAAGTCCGCTTCTCCAGCAGTTCCTGGTGTCGCCCCTAGAGGGAGCGAACTCTCCTGTTGTGGATTCAGGTCACTCTGATCTGAATGGCTGTGTATGGTGGGGTGCGGGGGGTGGAAACAGGTGGAATGACAGTGTGTGTGTGTGTGGTAACAGAGACCGAGATCTATCCTGATCTGTGACCTGGAATTTTTAGTCCTCTTGGCTATAAACTTATACCCTAGGAGCCTATGGGATAAACTGAACCAGCCACCCATCAAGTGACATACGGGTTCCCCAGGAGGGCGAAATCTTATCTGCTGCTCAGCCTCACCCCTCTGAAGCAATATCTCCATTCATCTTCCTTCTGGTCAATTTCCCATACCTGGAAGAAGCCGGAAATAGATCCTTGATAAAATGCAGCTCAGGATGGCCGGATTGTCAGCAGATCTCACTGTGTGTAAGAGCGTCCCTGAGCCAGGGCTCAGTGAGACTTGGGTCATGGGACTCAGTGACACCAGATTCTCTCGAGGACGATCTGGGCTCTGGCCCAAATAAGCCAGCCCGGCTGCAGTCAGCGCAGAGATGCGGTGGGTCTCCTGGGGAGGCTGTTACTCGTGTGTTCTCGGCCCCCTTTGTTCAGAGCTGCCTTCCCCGGCTGAACCCTCCGAGCTCTGTGTCCAGGTAACTCATTAGTGGAGCTGGGCTTCTCCAAAAGGACTGTTAGGAGATGAACACAGCTCTTCCTTATATGTCGTGCAGCTTAGTTCTTTAGACCCTTCCTGGTGACCTGTCATCTCTTGAGGATGCTGGCTGTGCCCCCGGCAGAACCTTCTCAGGGAACTCACCCTTCTCTCAGGAGCACAGTTCTGCTCTCTGTGGTCACGTTCCTAGAAGAAAATCCACTGCAGATGGTAACAAATGCCGAAAAGGCGCGCGAGAAGGTGAAGGGGACACCAAAAAGTTGTCCATCTGGAAAAGTCGCTGCTCCTCGGGGAGGCAAAAATAAAACCTACGGAGAAGCAGGGAAGTGTGGGAAGCCACGCGTGTGAGTCACAGAGTTTGTGCCGACCTGGGTTCCAGGTGCTGCACACACGTGGTCTCACCGGATTCTCACAGCTCTGTGCAGCTGGGTCATAACGCCATTTCGGAGGAAAGTACCTCGAGGCTCAGGGACGCATGGCGTTTCTGCCTAAGCAGAGGTCGGCAGCCTGGTAAGCTGCAGCGTTCTGTGTAACACGAGGGGGGGCAAGGAGAAAAATTGAATTAGCGCCCAGTGTCTGAAAATCAAGAAATCTCACCTTAAAAGTTAGATATTGGGCTTCTTGTGAAAAATTGGAAGCACTGGCCACACTGGACTCACATTCCTGCCTGGAGCGTGTTCGTGGAGGGGGAAGGGGGGGCTGCCCCATCAAGAGGGGCACATGCTCTGCACTTCACCTCATCACCACCCGGCCCCCTAACTCCAGGATCCCATAGGCCAGGAGAGAGAGCTCAGAGGCAGAATCTCCCACACTCGTGTCTGCAGTTTTGCCCTGTGACAGAAAAGACATTTCAAGTGTGCGCTGGAGTGTGTAACTACGGTAACCCCTAGTTCACCCCAGGCCTGGCTGGCCGAAGCCAGTGGCCTCCCAGAGGGCCTGGGCAAGGATGGACAAGCCATGTGGCCTCGTAGAGGCCCATGCTGCTTAATGTCCAGGTGGCCAGTGTGCTTCGAGGGGTGGGTAAAGTTTCTAGCCAGGCAGTCCCTGAAGTGACAAGATTCATCCACAGTTAATTCTAGGCCTGCCTGAGGCCAGGAAGAGCCGGGACGCTGTGTCTGCAGGCTCTGTAGCAGGCCCTCCTGCCCTGCCCGGTGCGGGGCAGGCTCACCCTGGGCAGAGGGAGTGCTGGCAGAGGCGGCAGCAAGCGGGGCTTGGACCCCGCCATCCTAGACCATGCAGTGCACCTGTCACTTCCCAGCCCTCACAAAACAGCATAAGGGGGTCCTCGGGAAAGCAGAGTGTGGCACAGATCTGGGGTGCCAGGAGGGCCACCTGGGGGACAGCCAGCTGGGGGAGGGC